ATGACTAATGTTAAATATCTGTGATAAAATGTAATAGAGTGTGATATATTCTTTACATTTCTTCAATAATGTTAAGACGCATTCTGTGAATGCCTCATTCATTGTCTGAATCTGGGTCCTCACTGACAGTATGCTACATTAATTCTAAATAATTTCTCTTATTTCACAGATCCAGATGTATCTTTTTCTATATCCTGTGTAACCTAAGAAGACAACAATGTCCCAGCTGTTTCCTATATAATATGGTTAAAATTTGTATTTCTTTTTTTTTTTTAAGATTTATTTATTTTTATTGGAAAGGCAGATATACAGAGAGGAGGAGAGACAGAGAGGAGGATCTTTCATCTGATGAGTCACTCCCAAGCGGCCTTAACAGTTGGAGCTGAGCCAATCTGAAGGCAGGAGCCAGGAGCTCTTCCAGGTCTCCCACGCAGGTGCAGGGTCCCAAAGCTTTGGGTCATCCTTGGCTGCTTTCCCAGGCCACAAGCAGGGAATTGGATGGAAAGCAAGCCCGCCAGGATTAGAACTGGCACCCATATGGGATCCTGGTGTGTGCAAGGCGAGGACCTTAACCACTATGCTACCAGGCTAGGTCCAGAATTTGTATTTCTTACAAAAATCAGCAAAAAAAAGTACCATGGTTTCTTGAAGGCCACATTTTCATCTCATTATTATCAGTAGTAGCTGATATACAGAAACTACATTGTACTGAAATATAAGGATACATATAAAATTTATGAGATTTGACTTTCTCTACTGTTGTATTTTATGAAATACAAGCAAACCGCTTCCTAGGAAGCTGTGAGTTCTAATCCAATAATGCGCATGCTATGTTGGTCACATTTAATGACATCACTCTCCTCAAGATCTTTATTAAAATTAGTCATCTGAAACATGGAATAAGTAATTGAATCTACTATTCCAAAACAGTATTGCTTCAGATGGGGACACTGTATTTGCAAGCATTCATCTACTTTTTGCACTTATCTAAATATCTTAAAAATTATCTAAAAATGACCAGAAACCAATCATTTCATTTTCACCTTGATCAGTATGGAAATGTTGATACTCTTGAACATCTACTTAATTTTTTTTTTTTTTTTTTATGTTTCAGTAAATCATATTCTAAAATTTCCTTTCTCAGGTCCAGCTTTGTAGCCTAGTGGTTAAAGTTCTCACCTTGTCCACAACTGTATAAGCGCCAATTCTAATCCTGGCAGACTAGCTTCCCATCCAGTTCTCTGCTTGTGGCCTGAGAAAGCAGTTGAAGATGGCCCAAAGCCTTGGGCCCTGCACCCACGTGGAAGACCCAGAAGAGGCTCTGAGCTCCTGGCCTCGGAATGACTCAACTCTGGCTATTGTGGCCACTTCTGGAATAAGTCAGTGGATGGAAGATCTTCCTCTCTGTCTCTTCTCCTATCTTTATATCTTACTTTCCAATAAAAATAAATTTTAAAAATTCTTAAGAAATAAATTAAAAAATTCCTTTCTCCTTCTGCTTACTCAAAGTAAATAACCTTTTCACAATCATTATTTTTCAGCATATATTCATGCAATTTTCATAAAGCATTTAGCCTTTTTATTATAAAGTTTGAATAATTGACTAGTCATAATTTCTATGTCCAAACATTATTGATAATTAGTTCATGACCAAATACCCCATTTCAATTATTCAGAAAAGTGATATTTGATTTGAAAGTATCCAGAATGGGGGGAAATTATTAAAGCTAAAATAAGGCTTTGTGTTTATTATGCCATGGCAAACGTATCTGGACAAGGCCCAAAGAGTTGAAGAGAAATTCATACTGAAAGGTGGAAGAGAGAAACAGCATTCAGTCCTCTTCTTTCCAAAGCATTTTTGAAGTTTCTCTGTTGCGAATTGTACACATTTGGAAGGAAATACATCAACACACATATACACACCAAATTTATCATTAGGTTATTTCAACTTGCTTACTTGTAAATTCGGTATATTTGATGTACATAGTTTAAAATATTGACATCCTGCTTCTCTTGACAGAATAAAAGGAATAGACGGAGCAATTTGTTTTTCTGTAAGGATATGTCTGGTCTTCAGTCACAAGGGCTTTCTGTCGAACTGAGTGTGTGATGCTCACCAACCATCAGGAGCTGGGGGATAAATATCATCCAGAACAAAGACAGACGCTTTGCAAACCATAAGATATTTAGACTTCATTTTCATTTCTTTTATGAAATCTATTTATAGTACCTCAATCCTCACTTCTAAAACCTTTAATAAAGGTCTTTTGTTAAAAAAAAAATTCTAGGTTTACCATGAAGACAAGTTTGCTTATTTCAATCTTTTATCTCTATATGCTTTTTTTTTTTTTGCTAAAATCTATTCATTAGCACTACAAGAACTTCCTTGGAATGAACCATATGCTTCAGATTCTAATATTACATTCCTTGCGTGAGTTCACCTTGCATTCTATTTGCTGGCTTGTGTCTCATTGTTCAGCCACCTTCCAACGACAAGGCTAATTGCACAGTAGGATTCACCACGTAATAATTATTGGCTCAAAGTGAAAGTAAATTCTGGTCTGCTGAGAACAGACCAGGCTGCTTTGCCTTTTTGACTTATACTACTCTTGCGTGTACTAGCTCTTGCTTACCCACACCGTCGTTCCTTGATGTCGATGTGTGTTAGTGTGTGTATGATCTGTAGGTTGTGAATTCATTCTTGGGTGTATTCATTACTGAACAACATGGCAAATAAGGCAGCGTTTGTTTTCCCTCTTTGTGTGTGTGTGGGTGTGTGGTTTTCACAGTCAAAAACAACTGTGATGTGTTTGTAACAAAATGAGATAGGAGAGAAGGAAGGACAAAACCAAATAATAGGGGCCGGCACTGTGTGGCCTAGCACCTAAAATCCTTACCTCCGACACACCCCTGGATCCCATATGGGTGCCGATTCTAATTCTGGCAGCCCTGCTTCCCATCCAGCTCCCTGCTTGTGGCCTGGGAAAGCAGCCAAGGACTGCCCAAAGCTTTGGGACCCTGCACCCACATGGGAGACCTGGAAGAGGCTCCTGGCTTCTGGCTTTAGATCAACACAGCACCAGCCATTGTAGTCACTTGGAGAGTGAATCATCAGGTGGAAGATATTTCTGTCTGTCTCTCCTCCTTTGTATTTATCTGATTTTGCAATAAAAATAAATAAATCTTTAAACAGAAAGGCTGATCAAAAAACAAACCAAGAGTTTAGTGTGTTTTAATTCATTTGCTATAATTTCCTCCCATTTTTCTGACCCACTTTACGAGTAACGAATGGTTTTTCGCCCCTGGAAAACACAACCCTGTTGTGAGGCCCCATCTGCAGAGTTAAATGTGCGTATGTAAGTTGCTCTTGCAATACAAATTGGTGTTTTCTTTAGCCTGGTCATTTCTTGTTTTCTCATTGAAATTTTAAGTTTCAAGGTCAATAGACAGTTCTGTATGTAACCAATTTGATTTTCATAGGTAAAGACAGAAGGCACACACAAAATACAAAGGTACAAAAGACAACCAATCCCTTTTAAATTGGAAGTTAGTGTATGTCGTGTTATTTAAAATTCCCCTTATTTCTCAAAATAAATCCTCTATAAATATCACTACCTGAACACAGTCGTCTCCTTTTGTACATCCAACCTTCACAATGAATCTGCACCCCCTTCCTGACACTTCGCACTCTGCATTTGCAGGCAGATAATCAACTCTGCTAGGAAAACTATGGAAGCAACCATGAACCTAGGTGGTTGTGCAACAACAATAACCTAATATTTGGAAGCCTCATAGTCTGAATTCGTAGTCTTCCATCAAAATTAGAGCCTCCTCCAGTAACACATTGAGATTACTTCTTTAGTCATTTCTTGGGATAGATTGGAAATGATGAAAGAAAATTAACAAAGTCTTGTCAATTGTATACCCAGATTACTAGAATTGGAGTTTAACACACAGTAAGTCTGTAATAATTATTGTTGACTTGAGAGAAATTCGTTAACACTAAAAATCATTCTTTTTCAACTACACATAGTTTAAAATACTTTCACCTATTTTGATTACATCTTTTCTATCAAATGCAATAAAATGTAATGAAGCTTTCTTCTAAATGGAGTGGAATTTACTTCACAAAATCATTATTTTAGAATCTGAGCATTCTATAAGTGATTATAAGGAAAAAATACCACAGCATCCTTGAGTACAAATCCAAAATTCAAGTCAGGTAGTCAAATGTGAGCCTTCCAAGAGTGATATTATGAGAAAAGAATACTGTAGTATTTTCTTTCTTAAAAATTAAGAAATTTAATAACCTTCAATTTTCTCACATGTAAACCATACTACAAATGAGTTTTGTCGAGGTACAGAAAAACGAACAATATTTTATTTATAATCGTATCTTTAGCTTTTGAACTACAAATTCGGGTTCTAGAATTTTTCAAAAGTCATAGGTTTTATAGATGCTCATATGTAAATTAATGTGTTGTTTGATCACTTTTTTTCATTTCCATAGGATGGTCTTCCTCATAAATACAGAACAGGTCATTACATGAAAAATATAAGATCTTGCATTTTCTCCTTATTCTCTCTTAAAAATCTATTTCTAATATTGCATTCCCCACTGGACTGTTTTATAAGGTCATGAGGGAAAAAGAAAAAAGAAGGTAAAGGGAAAGAGAGAGGGGAAATAGACTGGATCTCACCACTTGAAATCACCATAAAAATCTCAAAGTGTAACAGAATTCTTACAAAATTTCCTAGACCAGTTCTTTAGGGAATTGAGATCTATGAAAAAATATGGCAATCAGGGAAAAGAGGGAGGAGATGTAGAAGAACTGAAACGAAGTGCAGCACAAACAGGTTCGGAGGAATACACATCATTTTGTCTGCGTTAGATCACAATAGAATTTTTAATAAATAAATTTCTTTTCTTTTTGTTTTTTTTTTGTAAAGACACTTTTTTGAAACAGTAGATTTAGCCCAGTCATTTGTGTCATTTTTTAATAAACTGTCTTTTTATAATTGTTTGTTTTCTGTGACTCTGTAATAAATGTTTTAAATTTGAGTCTCTTGTACATTGTCTTTAGAGTTCATTCGAATCAATAACGGTTCATGCACTGAACTGTGTATTGAATTTATTGTGTTAACTGTTGTTGTGTGATTGAAGGGAGATTTGTAAGAGTTATAGTGATTTAAGTGCTCATGCTCAATAGCAGGCATGGGCAGGTGGCTTTCCATGGGCGTGTCCCCTGTAATCTCATCATCCACATTGATGATCTCAACAGTCCTCGTGGGGGCATGATGGTTTTGCCGATGGTGCTGCTTCCTCATCTTGTAGAAAATGACCAACATCACTGCAGCCATGAGTGTGATGGCCACGAAACACCCAATGATGATTTTGGTAGTCTTCATGACTTCATCTATTCCTGGAATCCCACTGTTTATGTCAGTCACTGGGATTGTGTATGTCTTTTCTGTTGACCTTGTGCTCTGTGGCATGAGAGAAGTGGTAACATTGGTGGTTTCCCAATCAATCACTGGAGTGGGGCCTATGTTGTTATCTGTGGTCCTTGCCTCATCCTGAGAAGGCTCCATAGTCTCTACCGTGACGGTGGAAAAGTAAGAGAAGGGAGTAGTGCTTGCTGCAGTAACATTCAGAGTGGCTGAAGCAGTAGTATTTCCAACAGAATTACTCACCATACAAGTGTACATGCCCGTATCTTGCACTGTTACATTCGTAAAATTTAACGTACCATCACTGAGCACAGCTATCCGCACTTTGTATGCCCCATGTGTCATGACTGTTCCATTTGGAGTAATCCAAGATACAGATGTCAGGGACGTGGAAGCCCGACACTTCAGCTCAGCTGCCATGCCTTCAGTGACGTTGAGGTCTGCAGGGGGCTCCACAATCACAGGAGCATAGCATGTAAAGTAATTCTGGTCGAGTTCCCCAATATACCTCCCTTTCAGATTGGGAGGTGTGTTGCACCGGGCACAACAAGCTGTGTTGGAGGGAGCCATGTCTTTTATCCACCAGCTAAGCCACAGTATGTCACAATTACAGTTCCAAGGGTTGTGATGTAAGTGTATCCGCTCTAGGTGATGCAAAGGTGTGAAGAGGTCATGAGGCAGTAATGTTAGATTGTTGTGTGCCAGGTTGATCTCAACTAGTGACTGCAGATTATCAAAGGCATTCCGTTCAATCACTTGAATCTGGGACTGTATCATCCACAGTTTTTGAAGGTGCATTAATCCCTGGAAAGAGCCAGGCCTGATGGCAGACAAATGGTTCCCAGAAAGATCCAGCTCATCTAGTTTTATGAGCGGTGTGAGGTTAGGGATTTCCCGAAGGTTGCACATGGCAAGGTTCAAATACCTCAAGTTGGACAGACCTTCAAAGGCACCTTCTGAGATATATGAAAGCCTTTTTAATTCCCCTAAGTCTAGTCGGCGCAAAGAAGGTATTCTGTTAAAAGCATAAGAAGGGATGCTTTCAATGGGGTTGTTTCTCAGCCAAAGCTCCTTCAGTTTAGACAAATATACAAAAGCTCCATTTGGGATGGTAGTAAGACGATTGTCAAAGAGTTCCAAAGTGTTAAGATTCGCCAGACCATTAAAGGCCCCAATTTCAATGGTTCTAATATGGTTTCTGCTCAACTGCAGAATTTCTAGGTGCCTCAAGTGTTTGAAGCTGTTCACTTTGATGACCTGGATTTGGTTCTCATGTAGGTTCAGCAGTCGCGTGTTTGTGGAAATACCATCCGGAACCTCACGCAGGTTTTTCCGTACACAAATCACCTTGCTGAACTGGTTGCTGCAGGAGCACACCGAGGGGCAGGTTTGAGCCCTTACGAGACCGGCCACCACCAGAAGTTGAAGAGCCAGCAGCACCACAAGCAGAGGGTCAAGTAGGGCCCTGTTAAACCTAGGACCTATCATTATCTGCTGTGGATGTAAGGTCATCTTGTTCAACATTCATAATTTAACTGGTGTTGGTCCTTCTGGAGTTCACTCTGCAAGACAGAAAAAAAAGGGGGGGGCATTAAATCTCTTCCCAATATTTGTCTCGAGTCAGTGATACCATATGTCAGCTAAACTCATCATTGTCAGACTTAGCAAAACAAAGGTTATAGGAAAGATAAATTTAATATCCTTCATTGCATTATGTGAACTGGATGATGGGAAAATATGTATGCCAGAAGTATAATCATAGAGAAATAGGCCAATGCATTGATAGACCTAGCTCTGTTTACCAGATGAATCTATAAAAACGACTATGTGATCATTGCTGTTAGCCTCCATTCCCTTACCTGATATGAAATGTTCATAAGATAGAACTTCTGGTCTACACAAAAAACTAAACACTTCATTGAACAATTAGCAATGGCTCATATTTTAATGGAAGTTGTTCAATGCTCCAAACACCACAGATCATTGTCTTCACAAACAATCCTATCTTGAAATGAGAAGGAAATTTACACAACACAGTGAAAAACTAAAATCAAGAAATTCAGATTAGTGAAGTCGGCCCTTCTAAACATGACACCTTTTATAGTTGCTTAGGTTGTACACCTGTGAAGTGGGCGTGATACTTTCTAATTTCCACAGTATTCCTCTGGTCCATGAAATGCCATTATCTTCACTTATAAAAATTAAAAAAGAAGAAATGAAATGATGGAGTACCATATGAGAAGTTGCATGACTCGTAAGTATAAAACTAAGGCAGAGATGCTCATTAGATCGATCCAAATGAGCACACTCTAAAGCAATCCATAGAGATGTTGCTATGGGTACAAAAGCAAACACCAAGTATGTATTTTGAAAGCTTTTGATGACATCACAAGAAAAACAAAAACACGAATTCCCATGAGATGCAGCAAAAACAGTGTTGAAAGGGACATTTACAACATCAGGTGCTTACAAACAATCGAAATGTTTCGTGTGTATGAACTATTTTTTAAAAACTTAAATTAGCTTTTGTCTGGACGTGCCCTTACCTTTAAACACTGGTAACATAAAGTACTTAGAAATAGTAAATGCATATATATATGCACAAATGAATTTCAAGAGTTCACGTATGAAAAATCATTATAGTCTAGCTTTCTGAGATATAACTGAAGTCATTTCCTATGTAATATAATGTTTATTTATGAAAAATTATGATGACAGGATTGTACATTTTTTCTCTTGCCTTACTAGTTTTTAGTAGATTTGTAGTCTGCATACTTTCCAGCACAAGAAGGAGTTCCAAAGCAGCCTGTGTCAAGCACTGTCTGTCCCAACTGAACGACCTTACCCTGGGCTGGGTAACTCGGTAGTAACTACTTCCACTCTCAGCAACCAGTCTGTCTTTTATGAATCTCTTAGGGAAAAAAAAGGAGGAGTGGGGGAGAAAGACCACATTCCAGTTATAACAGATACTAATATAGGAAATATTTTATGACATTTTGGTCAGTTGCTTACCCATTCTATGGCTCAGTAGCTTATCTCCACTTAACAAAAGAAAGCTAGAATAATAATATAATTAAATCCTTGTGGTTTTGGCGAATAAAGTTAGTTAATTCAGTAAAAGTACTTAAGATATTGCATCTTCCTTTGCCAGAACTCAACAAACCTTAGGTATTATTATAATTTCTATTTTTGTTAGCCATATATCTTGACAAATACACAAAGTATAAAGACAGAAATATAAGCTTTACTTCTGAGGGAATCTAATTGACACATGTAGACAAAAGAATGAAGCCCAACAATAAATGTTCATCCTATGAGACAAGGTCATATTTGCACGAAAATGCTAATGGCAAGCAATTTAATTTCGCCTGAGAAACTGGAAAATTAAGGAAAGAAGAGTATTTTAGGCAGAAGCATCAGCCTAAGCAAAGATTATGACCCGTAAAAAATCCTGGCACATTTGGGGAACAATGAAATGTTTTCACTGGCAAAAGAAAGGAGTGGGTGAGAAAGTGGAAAAGGAAGTTACAACAAGATTGGGTCTAAGTGCTGAGAATTGGTTGTGTTGATCTAAAAAATAACAATCTATCCCACCGGAAATGTATTTGGTTTTACAATGTAATGTTATTGACACACTTGGGTCGATAATATTGAACTAACTTGGGAAAGAAGGAGATTCAGAAGAATCCAGGAACAAAGAACAAGTGGGAGGATCTTCCAGTTGTGAAATCTCTGACTTAGACAGAAGTCAGTGTCAGAGAAGCTCAATTCCATGGTCCTTACTTCCATGCCCACCACCCAAGGTATCGACAGTGCAGGACTGGCTCCACTTTGCTAATATTTCTTCTATCATGAGTGAAGCACTCAATATAAATTAGTGTTTGTGAGAAACCGCATCCACATAGCATACGCGATGGAGAAGAGGATTGTTTCCAATAACAGGAGACAGAATCTGGCATTATCAACCCTTAAACATACCCTCACATTCACATCATCACTGGAAGACCTTGGTCTTAAGATGGTGATGAAGCTGTTTTCTGGTGTCCGATATTTATTTTTCTTCACTAGATCAATAGTTTCTGGGTTGGTGCTTCTATGGAGGTCCTCCCCCACCAACAAACCTGCTTTTCCTCATGGCTACTGCAACTCCAGCTTGACTTTTCATGCCAATCCTGACACCGTTTTTGCCTGTGTCTCTTTACACCATGGAGGTAGGTCATATGTGATGTTTTCATTTTAAAATGATTCTTGATATTGTAAAAAGAAAAACAGTTACTATCTATTACAACTCTTTGTAGAGACATAATTATATGTTCACATGCATTATGCCTTACTGTCTTATCTTCTGATGTGTGTGTGTGTGTCTGTCTGTCTTTTGGAACCTTAATGATCCTGGAGAAACTGCCCCTCCATGGAGTAGATAATTCCGTAGATCACTTGCCTACAAATGCAATACTGAGATACAAACCATTGAGTCTAAAGGTCAAACTCAAGCCCGATCTTTTTAGGTTCTCACAGGGTAATCATAGCTAGGTCTCTATCACACTGCCATAGTCATGTCACATCTAGTTATCAGGTGTCAATGAGCAGTATTTATGTCCCTGCTGTTGAAACCACGCAATCCATCACACCTGTTACCCTGACTTCTCTCAAAAAGAACAAATGTTGGCTATATTTTCATTGCAAAGTTAACTTGCTTTCTGGTGACCATAGCCATTGAAAAATTTCCCAATTGTGTGATTTAATGTAATTTCACATATAATTTCTTTGCTTACAATGCATTCTTCCTTAAAGTTATTGATTTATAGTTGGGGATGTATAAACCAATGAATGATTTAAGGGTTACTCTTTTGATAACACACTTCCTACTCCTCCTATATCATGTAACCTGACACTCTTCAGACTTCTGCGGAAACAAACCAAAACAAAACAAAACAACCAGGTGACTGTAAAATATCACAGTAGTGAAAATATCATTCTATATTCTGCCATTTGCTACCTTTCCTATCTTCAACACAATGTACAGTGGTCACAAGGAGGTTTCCTGGGTTCATGTTCCTGTTTGAGCTCTCACAAAACAAAATTTGGGCGAGCTTCATCACTTCTCTGAATATCATTTCGTCACTTTCTCCATCTGTTGAATGAGAATCCAGGCCCAACTGAAAAGTTGTTGTTGCTAATTTCCCATAATGCAAGATGACCTCAAATGTTTATAGAAAATACATGATTTTTCACAAGATCTCTTTGAACACATTTCTTACGCATGGACTTCAAAATTTGGGGCAGCAAAATAAGCATTTTTAATATTATTTTCTATGAAGTGTTTTAAGTATCCATGCATACAAAAAATTACTGGCTCTTTAGAAGAAATTTGATATTTCATAAAAACTCAGTGTCTGCCTTTTATACATGAAGAACAATAATAAACTAAATTCACTGTTTTGGTCAGGATTAATCAACATGACAAAGTAATATAATATCAGTAAAAGGTGCATTCAGGTGAATATTGTTGCATTTTATATTGTATCTCCTTTCTGAATTCTCAGGCCTTGTTTTATTTTCTATTTCTTGCTTACCTCAAGGTCTTTGTGCCATTGCAATTAATGAGATTTCTAGTAAATCAGTCATAAGAAACAATGTATGAGTTATAGCCTGTTCAAAGTTAATTTACAACCTACTGCAACTAGTATATGGTATATGCACTGAATCAACTACACTACTATTCACAGAAGGTTTTCTACTCTAAAATCTAACTTGTGCTACTCTATGTCAAAAACTGGGCTTCAACATTGTTTCATAAGATGCTTTTGTCGAATCAAAAGGAGACATATTTCAAGGTATGCTCTATCCATTGCAATGTCATATAACAGCCTTGATGAACAAACGGAATTGTGTGTTGAATTAAACTGTGATGTGTGTACTCTTGCCCCAGAAGGATATCCTGGCTTTGTTAAAAGATCTTTCCTTGTGCCTATCCACTTTTCAGAGCACTGTTAGCCCAATGAGAGATGCAGAAAGAACCAAAATCCAAGCTAATGGGGATGCTTTATTTGCACAGCATCATTGCTAAATCAGGACAAGCTATGTCTAGACAGTGGATTACTTTGAACAAAAGCTTGGAGAAATATGAATTCAGTAAATCAACATTCGTCTTTCCCTTCCTTCCCACACATGCACATGTATTTTGAGTAAGCTTGTCTAACCAGAAAATTCATTTCTCCTTAGCAGGGAGACTCTAAAGCATTTCTCATCTACAACATCTTGACTTGCTCGTCCATTGTTCCTCATAGCATTTTTATGCTCTTTTGGGATTCTCCTGTCAAAGAAAATAGCTTCATTAATACTTATAAGAACTTTCTCAAAGATTTCTCATCACTCTCACAGAAAATTTTAATAGAAGTTTTTGTTCATTGAAAACAATGAAATTTTACCATTTGCTACAAAATGGTCCCAACTAGAGAACATTATGCTCAATGAAGTAAATCAATTCCTAAAGTACAAATTTCATATATTCTATCTGATAT